AGCAAAGGTAATTCTTGTAATCGCTACAAATCAATTAATTGTGCTATTTGATTCAATTAATTTGGGTACACATTTGTTAATTAAATTGGGTGTTTAACAAATATCTACCGCTTGGGTGAAGCCTGACCATAAGCTCAAGTGAGTTGTAGAATTTGAGTCAAAATACCTAATCACAATGAGGTGATATTTACCGATCAATCAGTTATTTTATTTATGTGTTATTTCTTTAATTAATTAAGTTTTTCAAATCTTAAATACTTTCAAATTTTTGAACTTTTATTTTTCTTTGTTTTATTATCCTTTGAACCAACCGTCTTCCTTAAGGAGACAACCTCGGTAATCGACCAAGTTACAAATGATACCTTTTATTGTGCTTGGGAATTCCTGTTAATTGAATACAAGTTTCAGAAGCAAGCAACGCTTATAGAGGATATCAATAGATCCCATTATTTGGACTTGACCAAGAAAAGGCCTCATTTATTACACCCCTATATACTACTACAAGGTCATGAATTTTGGACTCAAAAATGTGGGAGCCACGTACCAGAGACTGGTTACAAAGATGTTTCGAAACATGTTAGGAAATAAAATAGAGGTTTACATTAATGACATGGTGGTTAAAATTCGGAGGTCAACTGATCATCTATCCAACCTACAAAGAACCTTCAACGTACTTCAAAAATATCGAATGAAGCTGAATGCCTCTAAATGCGCTTTTGGGGTCAGCTCAAAAAATTTTATGGTCTTCCTCTTCACCCAACAAGGTATATAGGCAAATCCTGATTAGCTACATGCACTGATTCAGTTGCAACCAACCAAGAAGGTTAAAGAATTACAGAGATTAACCTGCATGACAGCGCCTTTAACTAGTTCATATCTAGGTCGTCAGATAAGTGCAAACCATTTTTTCAGGCACTCAGACAAAAGGGGAAGGGAATATGGAATCAAGAATGTGAGGAAGCTTTCAATAAGCCAAAGGCATATCTGGCCACACCTCCCTTGTTAGCCACACTGGTGTTAGGGGAACACCTTTTATTGTATTTGGTTATGTCCAAACATGCGATGAGTAGAGCATTGATGAAGAACTCTGAAAAGGTATGATTCCAATTTACTATGTTAGTAAAACTCTCCTCGATGCAAACACCAGGTACCTTCTGCTTAAGAAATTGGCATTGGCACTAGTGAGCTCGACAAGAAAATTGCGACACTACTTCTTGGCACACACAATCATGGTGCTAACTGATCAACCACTCAAAGCTCTTTTTAGAAAGGCAGACTTGTCAGGAAGGGTATCCAAATGAGCTCTAAAGCTAAGCGAGTATGACATCATCTATTAACCCCAAAAAGTAATCAAGGGATAGGTGGTGGTGGACTTTCTCACTGAATTCTCTCCTGGGGATACCAAAGCTTACTCTAAACTCAAGGAGAAAAAGGACATCATTAGGAAAGGCACCTCAAACCCACAAAACAACTGGGAACTATTCATGGATGGATCTTCAAATCAGAAAGGTTCTGGCATCGACATAATACTAAGAAGCCCAGAGGGGGACATCTTGGAGAATGCTATGAGGCTCAGTTTCCAAGTTTCAAATAATGAAATTGATACGAGGCCTTCCTAGCTAGTATAATGCTCGCAGTAGAAATGAATAATGGGAACCATATACTGGGTGAATACCTGGCTAGAGACGAATGAATGCAGGCTTACCATGAGTTAGCTAAGGAAAAGCTTGGACGCATTCCTAAATATTCTATTCAACAAATAACGATAGCCAAAAACGTGCATGTCAACGCCCTACTCGCCTTGGCATCTATAATAAGGGATAAATCGGCTAAAACCACAAATGTGGAATGTCGGGATCAACCGAGCATAGGGTTCCACACAACTGCTGAATCGTTTGTCAGTCAAACTAGGGCCTAATTGGATGGACTGGATTGTGAATTACCTCAAGAATGGAGATTTACCATAAAATAAAAAGGACGATCACAAGGTGCTACTGAAGCAGGAAAATTTTGGATATCCTCGAACTAGGAATTGTACTGTCGTTCCTTCACAAGTTCAAACCGACGTTGCCTATACCTAAATAAGGTTTAGGATTTTATTTTTTAAATCCATGAGGGAAGTTGTGGTGCTCATATGGGGGGAGATCGCTAGCTCACTGAGCACTTTCTCAAGGGTATTTGTGGCCTTACATGCAAAAATATGTGCAACAGTATATGAGACTTTATGGGAAATGCCAAAACCTTTCCCCCATACCAAGACAACTTGCGCAGAACTTGATGCCTCTTACAAGCCCTTGGCCCTTTGCCCAATGGGGGCTTGACATTGTGGGGCCAATGCCCCAAGCACCTGGGAATAAAAGTTATCTCCTAGTGGGAACCTATTACCTCACCAAATGGTAGAGGTGGAACCATTAGTCAATATTTGGAACTCGAACACTAGAAAATTTGCTTGGAAAAACATCATAATGAGGTGTAGCATACCAATGGCTCTAATCTCAAACAACGGCACCTAATTTGAGAGCAGGCTCTTCAAGGCATTCGACGAACAGTACGAGATACAAAACTACTATTTCACACCGGCCTACCCCCAAAGTAACTGATAGGTGGAGATTTTGAATATAACTATCCTTGATGGAATAAGGAAAAGATTGGATAACGCCAAAGGTAGATGAGTGGAGGAATTGCCCAATGTATTATGGACGTACCAAACCATACCACGTCAAGTAACGGAGGAAACTCCTTTTGGGCTAGCTTATAGAATAGAGGTTGTAATACCCTAGAAATTGGTCTTCCCACAACCAGGACCGACTTGGCAAACAGTGGAGAGAACGACACTGCCATCACTACAAAGAATTAGATCTGGTGGAGAAAAAATGTGAAGTAGTGGCCATTCGGCTAGCCACCTATCAAAAGCAGATGTCCCAAGCTCACAATAGAAAGGTCCACCCTCAGAGTTTTGCTCTTGGGGACTTACTATTGACAAGTGTTATGGGTTTAGCCAAGGATCCAACACATGGGAAGCTCAAGGCAAACTGGTAGGGACCCTACAAAGCCATCTAAGTTAGGGGAAATAGATCTTACAAGCTTGAATCCATGGAAGGGAAACGACTTCCTCGACCCTGGAACACGGCTAACCTACGAAAGTTCTAAAAAGTAGAACTCCAAAGTACCTTCGAAAAATAAGAGTGCCTCTTGGGAAGCAATAATCAACACAAGATTCTTGCAATACAATGTTTTCTAATTGATAAATGAGAATTGAATTGGTTTGAAAAGTGCCTTTGTAAAACCTCTTTTAACTAATTGATCCTTTGCAAGGCAAAGTAAAAAAGCCTTCAAAAGACCAGAGCAAAGTTCATCCTACTACCAAGGCAGAGACTGAAAAATTCCTAACAAAGGTAAAAGCCTAGATCAAGGGCAACCACCCGATCAAAACCAAGCCCAAGGCTAGGCATGACGATGTGAGCCAATTGGGTAGAATTTTTAGACTAATTGAATTGATGAGTCAATGTAGAGGCCAAGCTATTCACTAACAGCCATTTCCAAAATATTTTTTTAGAAAAGACTTTGTTCAAAGGTCCCTAGCAGTTGCCAGGGACTAAACTTTGAAAGAAAAGATCAAGTTATTTGTTGCATGCCATTTCCAAAATCTTTTGCTATTTTCTAAGTGTCCAAAGGTCCTTAGCAGTTGCCATGGACCAAACTCAAAAAAAGAGATGCCAAGAAGTTCACTAAAGGCCATTTCTAAACTATTTTGCTAAAAAAGATTTGTGTTTAAAGGTCCCTATCAGCTGGCTAGGGACCAAACTCTAAAAGAAAGGCCAAGCAGTTCGCTAAAGGCCATTTTCAGAATCTTATTCTAGAAAAAAATAGGTGTATAAAGGTCCCTAGCAGTTGGGAAGGTACCAGATCCTGAGAAGAGAACTGAGCAGTTAGCTAAAAGCTAGCAACTTTTGCTAAAAAAAGGCTTAAGTGTTTTAAGGTTCTTAAACAGTTGAACAGGGAACAGGTTTTATTTTTAGCTCTCTGTATCTCAGTCGATAAAGCTTGAGGCTCTTAACCTTGTGGTTGGTAACATTATGGGGGTGGTGTGTTTTGAACACATAACCATGAATTCAAGTGGGAAATAAAGCTTTTCATATATAAAAAGGAAATTGCACAAAAAAAATGCAAATAAAAGTAGAAATACACAATATTCAGCAGATATAAGTGATAATTTGTAGGAGGTTCAAAAGAGCTCCTAGCAGTATGACGAGAGAATAGCTCAAAAGATGAAGGCATATGCGTAGCCCACAAAGCCACCTCCTAGCCTTTTATGAAGTGAGCCTTCTCAAGCAAAGGTAGTTACAGAGCTAGTTCAGCTTTGGCTTTTTGCATTCAGTGTTCAAAGGCGTCATCCTCCCGTTCTTATGAATAAGCCTTAAATGACTCATAATTTTCAAGTAGGGTGGCATGCTCTGAATAAGCAAGAGAAAGCTCTATTGTGGCCACCAACTCAGAAGCCTTTAGCTCGATCACTTTCTTTGAAAGCCTTCTATTCTCCTTTGTCAAATTGGTCATTTGTGCCTGAAGGATGAGTATTTCCTCAGAAAGTCTAGCATACTCAACATCCACAGTCTGCTAATTTTCCAGAGTTGCCATGTGATCGTAAACGGCCTATTTAATGGCCTTGTCCTTTTCATGATCTTGGCACCAACTTCATGGACCTTTTCCAGACCCTGATATTTCAAGTAAAAAAATACGTAAGTTGAATATTCTTTTTAAAAGGAAAAGTAAGGAAACAAAAATGCTAAGGACTCACCTACTCCATCTACTGAATAGCTTGCTGATTTATTTCGTCGTCTGATATCTTCTCGTTTGCCGCTAAGTCTCAAGGGAGAACCACTCCCCTTGTTATTCCAACCGCTACATTCATATCCTCCACCGCCGAATAATGAACGGTGATATCCTTCCCTTTTGCCTTCAAGATTGGATGAAAAGGGGGAATCACTCACTCAATAGTCATGGAGGTATCAAATGTTGAGATCCTCAGTCTCTTTAAGGAACAATCCTCACGTGAGGATAGAAGCTACACCTTCCTTAGAAGGTTTGGGAGGAGAAAAGGCAGGAATTTCAGAAGACTTAGGGATTTCGAGTTGAGGGGGGATATTCGAAAGCCTTGGGTCATCATGGTCAGATACTTAAAACAGTATGGATCATGGGATCGTCAGGGATAGTCACCGGATTAGGCTCAATTTAACTTTGCTGAGTTGGTGTGTCAAAAATCAGGGAATCCCGAGTCAGAATAGGAGTATGTTCAAAAGTTTCAAGGTGAGACAAAAAGTTAAGGAAATTTCTCACTGGCCTATTCCTACCAAAAGCACTAGAGAAAGATTTCTTATGAGACTAAGGAGTTTGACCTTGTGCCGCTTGCAAAACTTCACGGTTATCCACAAGGGTGGCATTGGGGCAATCAGGAACAACAACGAAACAGGTTTAAGTTGGTGTATAGCCTAGCAACACGTGGGTAGCTCAGAAAAAAAGGTTATCGTTGAAATACCATACCCTCCTTAGTTCCTCCATCTTCACAGACTATTCTGAAATCTTCCCTTAACAATTTTGCCTACTAAAAAAGCCCATGTAAGATAAAAATGTTGAACACTACATGAAAAAGGAGAGAGATAGCCTAGTGACATAATTTTGATCACTTGGTATGCCTTTTTCGTTAGGGCATCTATAGGAAGGATTATTGCCAGCTTTGTATTCTCAATTCCCATAAATGAAGACCACATCATTCTCATGACCCTTATTCGAGTCTGGCAAATGGTTACTAAGTAGCGATCCTACCTCCTAACAACAAGATAGTAGTTGTCCCCTACTAGCTTTATAATGTAGTAGTAAAGGATCTCCCACAAGCCTAAGCTCAAACCTAGGAGATCGTTAAGGGCTACAACCTCCATCATAATTCTGAAGAAGTTGGGGCAGCATTAGATTGGACAAAGCTTTAACAAGGAAAGAACCCATAAAAGAAGAGGATAAAGAGGAAATCGTATGTCAGCCCTAGTAATGGCACGAGTATATATGGGGATAGACTCCCTCGTTCCAATCAGATGGTTATCGGAACCAGCGACAAGAACTTTGACATCGTCGGGGATATTGTATTTGATTCTAAAAGATGGAATTTCAAGAGGAGTAAGAGGGTCCATTTGAGAAAGACAGCAGAAAGATCCCAACAATGGAGCAAGACACAAAAGGAAAAAGGTCAGAGAATGAGAAGGAGCCAAATAAAAGATGCTCAAAACCCCTTTTTAAAGGAGATAAACAAATGCCAAATGAAGAAACGTTTGAATACCAAAGGACAGAAGCATTAAATGAAAAGTACAATGTATGAGTAAGGCAAGAGGGATGTATGACTCGAGAAGTTAGGTGATCATCAGTAGTAGTATATGAAACAACTGCCAACTGCATGGCACTTGGCGTACGTTTCCTAGGGGCAAGAAATCATGACCACGTGTCTTATTGTAATAGTACACGCACGTGACTAAGACACGCGCATTAAAGATGTTGACGATTCAGAACGAAGATATTTGAGGTCGAGTTCAAAATAAAGGACCATCTATTAGGCATGCTCGATTTACTAGACATGCACAATCGATTAAGCCAAACTTGGTAGAATTGCTCGGCCATGCGAAGGTTTGCTCGGTTAACTTGGCTGAGTAACATTGTTAAACAAATTGGTTCAAGTTAAAGTAAACTGAAGATCATTTGGAAAATAGATTGGATAAGATAAGTAAGTTGTTAAATTCATTGCAAATCATCACCTGTAAATCCCAAAGAATTAGTTGATTGTCGAAATTTCATTTTGAGAAATTTCAGTAGAGTGTAACCAAAAGTCCGACATGATGAGAGGTGTATCACCTCACCTTGCAAACCAAAAGAATCTAAACCTTAAAGGGGAAAAAGCTAAGGAATCTATAAAGGGGAACCAAGGATGATCAAGAGTGGTATGCACAATTTTTCTTGCAAGTTCCTTCATCTCTATCCAGTACTGAGTTCAGTATCGGAGTGACTTCAATCAAGTCATTCTGTTCCTAGAAAGTTTGTTCATTTTGTAGAGGAAATTGTGCAACATATAATCGCATTCAAAACTATTTTGCTTCATTTCATAAGAGTTGATCTTTTTCACCGCTTACAGTTACCAAACACCACCTAAATGATTCAATTTTATTTTCATAATTTAGGAGAAATTTTTTGTTTGCTTCCATCTAGAAACTGCTACTATTTATTTTTTTTATTTTTATTTTTTAGAGAGGGGAGGAGAAACTTGAACCCTTGACCTCAATGAAATAAATCATTCACAAAACAAGGAGTATCATTAGACCAAAGGCCCGTTGGTTTCTAGAAACTACTACTAATAGGGGACGACAGTTATACATGATGAGATGTGTGTGATGTAATGATAAAACTCAAGGACGTTGGATGTAATTTTTTCACATTATAGAAAAAAACCAAGACTCCATAATGAAGCAAAAATAAAAATGAAAATATATTTAATAATTAACCTTTCATCGTTATTATACAAATTAAAGCACTAAGGATTAAAAAGATATTAGAAACCCCCTTTAATTTAGATTATCATACAAAAATGTAAAACACATAAAACCAACCTCGAGTAGCCCCTTCTTCTCCCTTCCACCTCCATGTCACTCCTTCATCAGATAGAACTTGAAAATTTTCACAATTGACTATTATGTAAGGTTGACTATCTTCTAATACTTAACCCACTTTCTTAGATGTGAGCTTGAATTTTTGGGCCGAGTAGAGTCATGGAGACCCAATGGTTGAGGTTTTAATAACAACGAGCAATTCCTTATGTATTCTTTGAAGAATCTTCCTCCCCTCTCATCATTACTCTCTTGCAAATTTCTCCCCTCAAAGTGTGTTTGGATGGTATTATTGGACTAGATTGGAGATGTGACGCCCCAAAAACCAGGGATCCTTTTTCAACCCGTTGATCACTCATTAACTCACAGAAGTACCTATGAATGCCACATAACCCAACACCACATCATAACATCCCCTTCACCGGGATCATAAAGAAAGCAGAGTCTCCCTTGCACTAGGCAACACATAACCTGTACATATTTCAATCACTTGACCATTCCAATGTCCAATATACATCAATTTGTCCTTAATATTACTCAATTTTCATCCTTTGAACAAAAGGATTCAAGGCCCGGAAGCTTGGCAAAGTTATTTTAAGTTTTTGAAAATTTTGGAGGAGCTAGGAGTAGCTCATGTACGTGCTACCGGTAGCTGAGCCCTCTGCCAACAAGCTAACAGTGAAAATTTTGAAGAAGATACCGGTAACTCATGTACAAGCTATTGCTAGCTAAATCCTCTGGAATTCTGCTACTGGTAGCTCAAGACTTGTTACCAATAGATGAGCCCAGTTGTTCCCCAATTCAATCCTTTTTCAATTTCAACTCATCCAATCTCATACAACATTCACTCAAACTCATATAACATCAAATTATACTCAAAATATAGTCCATAAAGGTTCATTACACAACCCTTTAAACAATATTACATGTCCAAAAACTCATTACACAATTGTTTTACAAAAAAGTAATTTAAAGCCACAACTTGGTTTTCTTCATCAACGAGGGCCCAAGTGAGAACCGTCCATCGACACTTATTCCGTTTCTTAAATTTTGTCCCCATAAAGGATGAGTCATGCTCAATAGGGTATCTCCTAAAGTGGCTACTCTCCAACCTAGACGTATATGAAATGCTCACATGAAATTCAATAATCAAACAAGCATTCATCCAAGAACATACAACTTCAAGAATTAATATCATAATATCATACCATGTTATGAGGTGAGACTCACACATGTAACGCGACCCGAGCCTTCACTGGCTCCTATAACACATGCAATGTCATGCGTATGAATTCAAGCATTCTAAGCCCCAGTCATTGATGTTACACATCCAATGACCATTTATAAATCTCAGATTTTTCTTGGGGTGGATATTTATGGACTACCACCAATAGGAATCCTACCAACAGGGCATTTATGGACTTCCTCCAATGGCTCCGCATATGCTAACACGCTTTATGGACTCAATACCAATGGAGTGCATATCCAAATCACCAAGTCTTGCACCCAAGGGAAAAACTAGCCCTTCTTACCAACCTCAACCCTATTTTCAACATAACCCGTGCAACTCAATCAAACCTTGATCCGACTTTCCCATGCCCACACATCATCCATCAAGAATGGTATTTGATCAAAACAATGCACACACCCACACCCATGTCACATGCTCATGAATATAATGCTTCCTGTGCATATAAAATGTAATGTACAATTGTATTTCATATCATTATCCAACTAAGATTTCAATTGCAATTACATCATTGCGTTCAACATGTCATGAGCACAATATGAACAATTCAAATTCCTTAATGTAACTTATATCATAAAGCATATAATTACATTCTAACATCATCACATTCCCAAATTGTCACTTATATCAAAAGCATATAATTACAATCTATATTCTCATCAAGCATGTTACAACATTTTTAATGAAACAAACATGCTACATCAACATAGGCATTTTATCAAGCACCCAAAAGGTACAAAATCATGTAACACACAATCATGCCCAATTTATCACATTTCTCTTGAATTTACCAAGAAGCAAATTTCATAAATCCAACTCATGCAAGACTGGATTTTCACATTTCTATACTGATTTCTCATACTCTAGTTACACTAGAAGTACATCAAATAAGAGAATTCATCTCTAATCAAACTACCCATTTCATATGCAACCCTAGGTTGAAAATAAAACTAGCTAGGAGAAGAACCTACCTCTCGAAGCGTAATACGAATGGTAGAAGCTCTAAAAAAACCTAACTCAAGCTTTAGAATTTGATTTCCAAAAATTTCGTTCTTGAGAGTTCGTCAAAATCCCCGATCTTTGGTACATAGATGTAGCTCTCGTCACATAGATCAACTTTATTTCTTGGCCCGAAGAGTTTCGACGAATGGTTTGTAAAACCCAAAAAAATTTAAATTTTTATAAAAAAGAGCGAGACATTAATTAGTTGCTACGATACGGGTTGAAAAAATAAATATTTCTAGAACTCGGATGATGAAACGGACGTCACCGTTGGATT